TTTGAGAAATCATGCAAAAAGTATTCAAACGCTGTATCTCACAACAGAACTGAAACGTTGCTAATGAAATGTGATAGTTTTGAGAGAGAGCAAAGACAACAGGCACTTGGGGTCTCTTTGCACTGTTTTTGTAAAATCTAAGGCATTGTGCTCTTTAGGTGTTGTGATCAAAGTCGTTTTTAACATTTTCTCAAAAACACTTCAAACGCATTCTGTAAAATGTGAATCTTTAAGCCCAGGCTGTAAATTGTAACTGATAATTTCTCAACAACATACTGTAAAACTGTTAAGAGGCGCAGTCGAAGATAACGGCATCAATTCCTGCTCCAACGTGCAGATTTAAGAATATTCATCTGGCTCTTCACATACATGAAAGCTATCAGCTGCCCTTGCCAGCAAGTGGAGGACATTAAGGCTCAGCCCGGTTGATCTCTGATGACAGAGGTCTGGAGGAGGGATTAGAAGCAAGGGGACCAAAGTTATGGTCATTCCCTTAAAAGGGTGGCATTGCATCTCATAGGCCTGGAGCTTGCAGGATTTGAAAGATCTTCAAAGGTCCGCTCACCCCATACAACCTACTTTTACTCCCAAAAAACCTTGGAAGTTGAATTTTGAAAGATGTGGACTTTTAAAATATTATTTATTTTGCTTTTGCATTGCGACAGGCCCACAACAAATACCGCAGGCCGTATCGGAGAAACTTTTGCTTTCAGATTGTTGTTTATTCTGCACATGAGATAATCATTGTCAGTCATGTGGTTACCTCCTGAGCTTACCAGCTCATAGGAGACCATTAAAGTCTCCATGATATCTCAGAAACTGGCTCATCAGAAACTGTCAAAAATATCTGTTATGTAAGGCATGGATAATAAATGAAAAAAAGAAGAAAAAAAGACATCTTTTTATGAACCATCCACAGGGGCAAATTGCAATTCATCAAAAGACAAATATGCATTAGATATGAGGATAGGCGGGGCATCTCTCTCTATCCTGCTGGATATCGGCTGTTCAGCGTTACTTGGGTTTTGGCAAATTCTGCAACAATAGTAGGGAGAGCTGAGTGTTCCAGGGGCTTGGGCTTAAGTTGACAGGGAAGCGACTGTTGGTAAGAGTGAATAGGAGCCTGGTTTAATAAGCCCTGGTACAGGCTGGACTACACAGACAAATGCAGTGCAGATGAAGATGGGGGAAAAAATCTAACGGATCATTCTGGTTAAATCATGAGAGCACAGCGCTGCATGGGACTACATTCCTGTTCACCATTTAATGGTTTGTAAACACACGAAACATGTGCATATAATTACAACGATTGCATTGTCTTACATAAGAGCCCTGCTTCTGATGGTGTGTTTTAAAAGCTTATTAATTGTCAAGCTGTCAAATTAACACAGGCTTAGACATGAAACAGATTGCATTACTAACGTTTCACTGAAAGGAACAAGTGACAAGAGGTACATGTTCATTTCACTGCATGGTTTCATCTTATTGAGAGTTGTATATAGTGTTCAATCTTTTACTTTAAAAATCAATCTGTCTTCATTGTTACAATTGCCCTCATAATGCATTGTTGGAATCTATGGCACTTGGATACCAAAGCCCCTCAGCAGCTATCATTCTCTAACATGAAAAGAATTTATATATATATATATATAAAGCAGCAGTGTGGCTACATCTAGGTTTACAATGCAATTCTCCATGGAGAGAGGGCCAGTGTACAGAAGAAAGCGGATATTTGAGTCAAGGTCCATGCATGTCTGGAGGAGAATCTGGCAGAGCACACCTACTTACCATGGGACTACACTGGCAGAGATTAGGTGATCATCATGACGGGGCCAGAGTGGGTGATGATAGCCAGGAGCTGCAGGGAAAGAAGTAGATGAGACAGAGAAACAAAAGGGTCTGGTAAAAAGAAAAACTGGGGGGGCAGAGGGTGGATGAAAAAGAAGGCGAATTGGGGAGGAACAGCACCACTGGCTTGACCTGGGGAAATTTGGGGGTAAAAAGCCAGCGATCCAATTAAAATCACACTTGGTCAGTCAGAGTCGACACTGACACAGCCTCGCCAGCTGTCAGAGTACGGTGCTTAAACCTTACTTGGAGAAGTATGGGAGGTGCACAGTGTAAGTTACGCAAGATGTCATACATGGTTATGATGATGCAGAAAACCAAAGACCCGGTGTGACAAAGCAGCCCACCCCCTGGTACACAGCTGGGGCTCAACCCAAGTATGGCATAACAGCGACCCAGGGGGAGGTGAAGATGGCAATTCTCTGGATCCCAAGGTGACATGGATGTATTTACATTAATCTTTTGTATACTCGCTTACACACCTCGTCCAAAATGGTGCCTGCGCCTGTTGCTAGGCAGAGAGCGCAAGAGTAAAGATGGCGGCGGACAAGTGGCAAACTGGGAAGCGGAGGTCTAATCAGTTGTGATTACTGGGGGGAGGGTGTGGCAGGGTTCAATGATGATGGACTATTACCACAGCTTGGTCAGAACACACGACAAGACGGTTACACACTGTACTTGGCGAAATTCAACGTTCCTTTGCCTTCTTACACATTTTCAAACAAGAAATGGGGGGGGGAAACGCATTTCTAAACGCATACAGTACCAGAAAATAGTGTTTGATTACCTCTATTGTGTTTTACAGAGATTTATTTTTTGGGAAAAGAGGAGAAAGGTCAGAATTTGGGAGTTTGAATAGTTGAGTTTGGATGAGATTTAGAAAGAAACAGAATATTTTGAGATCGCTTAAAAAATCATTGATACCAGAGCCACTCCAAAAGCATTTGATGCAAGCTATTGATAAGGTTGCAAACACAGAAGAAGCTATCTAATGAATTTCAGTCATCGCATCATTAAAGTGCAGAGATCAAAGCCAAAGCACTTCACCTCAATTTACTTGAAGAAAGAAACACTTCACAGCTGAATCATCTGACATCAACCATGTTAAATGATACATCTTGGACCACATGATACTACGTACTTACCACTTAATGTTGAAAAGTATTGTCTCTAATAATCTGATACAGCAGCACAATTTGCAGGTACACCTTCACCACTCATTAGGGAAAAATAAATTAAATTAAAACCGTTCAAACTACGCGAACGAAACAGTTCAAGCTGGTTGTTGTCAAAATTTAAACCAAGGTACCGGACTTGCAGTTGATTTTCAGTAAGAGGCCAAACGGAGAGATGAAAATGAAAATTAACTGCAGTCAAACTCAAGAGGGATTTGCAAAAATGCCTCATCCAAAATATCTGACTCTCCCTAAAGACACATACCCATGAGCATCATGTGCAACATAGATTAAATGGCAAAAACAAGTTTATCACAGCTTTGCACCATCTCAAGAACAATTACACTGTCGGCACATAAAACATAGTCGCCCACTTTCAATGCTTCACTTAGAAATATGAAAGAATTTAAACCCTATTTGTATTTTCTTCCTAAATTTGAAACAAAAATAATTCAAGCGGCTTCGTAGAACGATATCACAAGAACAAAGCTTTCTCTTTTGCAGATCCTCAAATGTATTATTGTGTTTGGAGGGAAAACGTCTGGTCCAACATACATTTTGATGGCTGTCCAGACAACTGTCCCACCATCAAACCTTTAATCTGAAATAAAGAACAGCCTTATTACAGCTACAGTCAGCTGTCACCGTGAGCATACATTTCAAAGACATGTAAAATTAGTGCACCTTTGGCCTGATCTCCTTTTGATATGGTGAAGAAATTTGATTTATATAATGACAGACATCATTTGCATGTTTAATGGTATAAAATGCTGACCCATACATACAGGTCCAAAGTGTAAAGCTTTGCTAGAGGCAGTGAAACAGAGGTTTTCTTTCTCTCCATTACCTTATTCATCATAATTGTGACCAAATTGACCTCCGAGATAATCAAGCTGCTGCAGTGAACTTTCCTGAGCGGAATGAGGACAGATACTCACTGTTTACATCTTTTTAAACGCCTCATTAACTGTGCTCCAACCTGATCACTGTTTCCTTTCAAGCAGTGCAAACTAAGAATGACGATAATAACTCACTACAGATGAGTTTAGCCTTTGCACCAGGCTTAGTGGAGGAACTGAATTCAAGCTCTGCCCGAGACAGAGACAGGCTTTACAAAGAAAAGTCCTCAGTTCACTTCTCTGCAATAATGAAACACTTGATGAAATTTAGAGAAAGTGAAAAAAACAAGGAAACATGAGCAAATATGTCATCAAAAGGTAAATCTGGTAAATGAAGCAAGCATTTTAGTATTATCGGTGTGTGCCTTCAAACAAAGAAAACCAACAAAAGTTTTTCCCAAAGATTTTCAACAATTTTTCTAATTAAATATAACGCATTGATCTCAGAGAAGTATTGTGCTTTTAACAGAGAAATCCAGCAATTGTAGTAATTCTCACTTAAGGTGCAGAGCTAAATTAAATAATTCACATGGTAAATCGAAGTAGATGAATTTGTAATAAAATAAAATAAAATAATCATGTGAATAATAATGGACTGCTGAGTTATTATTCGCACAAAACAATATTTTGAGATAATTTGGTCACGGTGCAGATTTCTACTTGGAGGTGAGTGATTGAAATCACGTCACGTGATGGAAAGTAAAAATGTGCAAAATAAAACATCGAAAATAATAAGATAACGTCTGCAAAAGACATGGAGGAGAGGAAAATAATAAATATGAGGATATTGATAAATGACAGAAAGAATTGCGCGTGACCTTGCGGCACATATAGGTTTCACCTGACACCCCCCCCACCAAAAAAAGACCGCACGCGCTAATGGCGGAGGGAAGAAACAGAAAACCAGAGAGGACTGTTTGTCCTTTGTTTTCATCATCACATACTTAGGAGATTAAGAATATTCAAAATTATTGATCTACAAACATGGCGTATACCGGCTCCTGGAAATTATACAATTTGAAAAAAGGAGAGGTTTATATATAAAATGCATTGATTGGTTTTAACCACACACGGCTGATCAAAGAGAATATAGACACTTTAATAAAATATAGAATACATAATTAATTATACAGTAGGCTTATGTACAGTTGGACTGTATGCTAATGAATGGTTTTTAACAGGAAAGCTGTGGTTTATGCTCTTACTTTGCAAGGGAATGTGAAATATACATATAATAAAACAAGAATGTTTAATGAAAGGAGGCAAAAAGTGGAATTTAAATCAAATAAAAAACCCACTGAGCCTCGCAGTATTTTTAATTACAGACAATATCACGCGTCAGGCCCAGGACGCTGGACTCCAAGTGTAACGAAAGGAAAGAGCTTCCACATGTTTATTTCAGCTTTCCACACACATAAAGACATGAGTAATGTTTCTATACTTCCCCACGTACAGTACAACTAGTTTACATTCAACAGACAGCCCCACACTCAGGGTTACATTCAGCAACACGTCTCCTTCCACCTCTCAGTATAAGTTCAGGCAGGTTTTCCATTAAATCCTTTGTCATTTTTTTAAAAATATCACTCAAGATAGATAGCTTTAATAATTAATGCAACACAGCGAACAATTACGCACGTTGTAAAAGTTCCTATGACCCACTGGGGGGATGTGTAAGCTTTAGGGAACAAGCCAAACTCCAACCAGACAGGCCTCACGACAACAAGTAAAGCTCGCCACATTTCAATATGATGACTCAGGACGTGTCACAGGATATTTGATACAACGGCCACACAAATACAGAGGGACAGATAAACAGCTGGAACGGTCAGGTTATAACATGGATAGAAAATAGGTGGATTCGTCCACGTGTCCCGACAGGAGCTCAGAGAGACGGGATGTTGTTGCACTGCTTTGGTGGGAATGAGTCCACTCCGCTGTGACATGTGTACCATCCATTGACAATACTCTTCTGGAAGGGAGAGGTGGAGGGGAAAGTCCTGGAGCTCTGCGCAAAAGTGTGCGCCGTCTGTCCGCAGGGGTACTGGGAGGACTGGGACCTGTAGCCGCCCCTCTGCAGCAGCAGAGGATCCAGCAGGGGCTGTGACCTGTGTGCGGAGTAGTCAAAACTGCTGTCAAGCGTGTGATGGAAACGTGACCTCGGGGTCGACTGGTCTCGAATCTCCGGGGACATGGGGACGTCTTGGGTGGATGTTGGGGGGTGACAGGGGCTGATCTGCGCTCCGTCCGGGACGCGGGTGGACTCGGCCTCCGCGTCACCGCCTTTAGTCTTGTTGGAGTGCAGCTTCATGTGCTTGCGCAGGGAGCTCGGATGGGTGTAGCACTTGTCGCAGCCCCTGACCTTGCACATGTAGGGCTTATCGCTGGAGTGCACGTGAGAGTGCTTCTTTCTGTCACTGCTGTTCGCAAACCTCCGGCTGCAGCCCTCGAACTCGCATTTAAAAGGTTTTTCACCTAAACGTGCAAAGAGAGAAATGACGACGGGTTACGGATATGCTCACAGGCCCGTGCAATGCTCTCCATGTTCTTATAACAGGCCTGTAACAGTCCTGTGACACTGTTGAATAACAATGCGTGAAGAATTACACTATATCCACTTCACTGCACATTGTAAAATAACCATGTCATCTCCATCTTTCAATTTGGGACTCTGCAAACACAGACCAGGCTTCAGTCGGCCACATCGACCATTTCTAGAACTGTTTGCACCAAATGTTTTTGCATTAAATTATTACTAATGTGCAAAATAAACGTATGAGTCATTCAAATAGAGTTCTCATGAGTTGCTGTAACTTTGCTGCAGCCCTGATCGCAACAAGTGACTTTATCTGCAGACTGAACCAACAAGGCTGCAGCCAGTTGACATGCATCAGATTATGATGAAGCTGCCACAGCAAATGCAAAGATTTGTTTAAATGCAGTTGCAAGAGTGAATTATGACCATTTAAATGCTAATTGGTCTTCTGGCACACACACACACACACACACGGACGCACGCACACAAACTGCCTACAGCTGCGTGTCTGTCCCTCCTGCACGAACACACACACACACAGTAAAAGCTTAACACATAAATAAAAGTTTAACGAACAATACGTTGATAAATGTTTTTTCTGACATAAATGATGTCTAATTAACACACTACGCATGTGCAGTTGTGAAATAACATGTCATCCTTCTCCGTCTCCGTTCTCGCTGAATTCATTAGTAAAACAATTTACACCACAAGCAAATGGTTGCGGCTGATGAATATCATTTTATCGTGCAGGCCTTTTTATTTCTGCGGACCACTCACTTCATTTGACAACTAGATTTTCAATTTCAGTGTGTGCACCAGGAGAGATCAGGTTTCTCATCCAAACTTCTGATGCGTGTGAAAAACTAAGATTAAAAGAAGACACATTGAATAAATATTATTTACTAATTTTAGTTGTGCGGGGGGCAAATAAAGTCACAATCTTTGACATGACATCAGTTTACACTGCTTCCTGACAAGTGGGCTAACAGGCTATCATAAGACATGATAAGGCAATAAATAAATTATCCCCAAGAAACTCATTTTTATTTACACTGATAATCATTTCCTTTTACTGACTGTGGCCAACGCACTTTTATGTATTTCCTGCAACAGGCCCACATCAGTATGATGTGCTGTGCTGCAGTGCTACTGAGCACATGCAGGGATGAGTCCCTGGGAGGCACATGCAGCGTAACGGCTACGTCACAGCTCTCCGGTGTCCCGGGATTTATTTAATAATTTCACTGAATGAAGAGGGAGAGGCACCCAAACCTCCAGGCCTGCACACTGCACTGAAGTGGCTCCCTACTCTGCTGCTCAGCTGTTGTTCCTGCATGAAACCTCACAAACCCAGAAAAATAACAGAGGGCAGGGGGGGGGGCAACATTTATCATAATAAAAAAAGAAGGCACAGAAAACCAGCGCCATGTAACAAAAATAATAATTTAGCTAAAATATCCAAATTATTTAATTAAAATAAAATAAAATAAATCACTCTGTTAAACTAGTGCAACATGGATAACATTAATAAAAAGCGTTAAAATACTGACTACATTAGAATAGTTGTTATTACCATTGCAGTGTCATTAATTATTATTGTTATAATGATGATGATGATTAACTAACCTGTGTGAGTCCTCTTGTGGATCTTTAAATTCTCTGATCTTGCAAACACTTTCTCGCAGCCGTGAAAGGGGCACGGGAAGGGCTTTTCCCCTGTGTGCACTCTGACGTGGTTCACCAGCTTGTATTTGGCTTTGAAAGGCTTCCTGTCCCGCGCACAGTTCTCCCAGTGACACACATACTCGGCGTGCTCGGGTCCTCCGACGTGCTCCACTGTCACATGGGTGACAAGTTCATACATGGTCCCGAAGGCTCTGGAGCAAGGCAGCTTCCCGGCCCCCTCATGGCCGTCACTCCACTTGCACACCAGCTCGTGCTTCACTGTTTGTTTGGAGCACCTGAGGAACGCGTCGCCTCCTCCATGCTGGATGGCCATGTTCAGGGGTTTGTACAGACCCAGGAACTGTGAGACGAGCTGCTGCTGGCTGCTTCCCTTGGGGCTGATGGTTTGCCCATAGGGATGAGTCCGGGTGAGGAGGTCGCCAGGTAGACCCAGCATCATCTGGCTGCCGAGGTCTCGAGGTGCGTCCGTGGAGGCGTGGGCCTGCTCCTGGTAAAAAAAAGCATGGCTCCTGTTGTCTCTGCAGCCATGGAAGTCGCGATACCTTCCAATCCCGCCATGTTGGTTAGCTCTTGATGCCAGTTGATCAGTGACGGGTGGCATGCCGGCTCCAGAAAAATTGGCTCCAATGATAATGCCCCGAGGGCTGTGCTCTAACCGGTGGCTGGGGTATCCAGAGTCTGAAAAATTGGGCACCGAATGGTCAACATATGCACTGGACCTCGTCTCGGGGTAGTCTCGCAAATTGTGCGAGGGGCAGAGTTTTAAGGAACTGCCAGTGGGGTGTCCCATGTGCTCCCCTGCCAAAGGTGGCAGCACCACGCTGGGTTCAGTATTGCTCTCCCCGGGGTTGACGCAGGAGAGAGGGCAGCCACTAAACCTCTGAAGGCTTGACATGTTATGTTGTGAGTGTGGCTATGAGTTTGCAAAATCAACCAAATCAGGATACACCTAGAAATGCTCTCTCCATTCCCCCCCTTGTTGTAAGCTACATCATCTGCATGTGAAATTCTTGGCCGTGAACTTCGCAGAAGTAGGAACCAGACTCGGTTTCGTTAAAGTTGATGTGAGTCCCATGCCGTTCACTTTGCCCTCTTGATTTGTGGCAATAACCGTGGTAGTAAAAATGCTTCGAAACAGGCCATGGTGCAATATAAAAGCACAGCAGGCAAACCTGCTTTTAAAAGGGGAGCTTTGGGATTGGTTGGAATGCGCTGTGATTGACAGGCGCTGGGTTTGTTTTAAAAGGGACACGCAGGCGTTCACCGCACGACTCCGTTTTCAAATATCGCAGAGAAAATGCTTTGAAACGTGCCGCGATGGTCCCAAATATCGCTGCCTCTAACTTCAGGCGCCTGCTCGTGAGTCCCCGTCTCCAAAACCTCTGAAAAATGCGCACGTTAATGCGTAAAATGGCACTAATCACCTGCTGCAAGTCCAGAGATTAAACTGCAGACATGAGCAAAATACGAGACAATCACGGCCCCTCCACCGTCTTTGATTTCAGTGGAAATCTCGCCAAAGCAAATGTCCCACTCCTGCCCTGCAAGAATAATAGAGAGACTGGTCACTGCGTGTCCAGGCCAATTATTGTCAAGACGAGCATTTTGAGAGGAGTGGCACGTTTGAAAACACTCAGAGTCACATGAAACTAATTCTAACGATTAAATCAGTGATTTGAAATTATTTGCAACACATTTGTACTGCATGAGCACAAAATATGACATTCCATTTTTAATGTAATGCAGGTAACTGAGGTCCCATGAGAGTATTGTGTTACATTTAGAAATATATTTTTTGCATTAAGCTAAAAAAAAAAAACCTTGTTGCTGACCTCATGTCCCAGATTAAAAAATAAACTATATAGCAACAAGTAGCCTGGTTCCACAGGCCCGGACCACCAGAATTTCACAATCATCTGACAGGAAATAAAAAAAGGTTCTTTCAGACACACATTTCCCAGCAGTGTCATCGGGGAGTACTACAGAACAGGATGTACTATTTTACCTTTGAGCCCAATGTGAACCATTTCTATACATAACCTCCTCTTTCGCATCAAGCTTAAATAAATGAATAATCATCAAACGTGCACCATGCGTCTTGCAGGATTGCACGGGTGTAAAAAAATGGTTACGTAAAATGGAAATTATGAAACGTGACAAACGGCAGTGGATTGGCTCCACTGTTCCTAGGAAACTCAGATAAACTTTCTTACTTTGGGGTGCTGTGAGGACAGCAGCTCCGAGCTCTGCATGCGCGCTCCAGTAGCGCAGCGCATATTTCTGCACGTCTCCTCCTCGCTCTGACATGGCTCTGCTTCTCCCTCCAAGAGGCACTTTAGCTAATTCATTTATCTGTTGCTTTTATTTCAATCTACAAAACGTGGCACGGGCCCCGAACTGCAGCTTATAGGTTTAAGGTGAAACCCTCTGTTATTTCCCAAAGACTGTAGCAGGCGGAATTTTCAACTTTTTCTTAAAAAAAAAAAAAAAAAAGGAAGGAAAGAAATAATCCTTTTCTACATTGTTATGCTGACGTCACCTGCAGTGGATCTTGGGCTGAGACAAAGCATGGGGCCCACTTGACATTAAGTGCCGCAAAATAGTAGACAGGCCCAGAACCGGCCTAATTCTGTCATGATTGTAATGGACGCTCATGTTTGTCAACCTTTAACCCGATGCATTTCCGCAAATGATTGAGGGTTGAAGGCCAATAAAGTGAAAGTTTCCAATCTGTCATTCAGGGACTATAAAGGAGTGACAGAGCTGCGGTACAACTGATCCCAGGTTCTCCTTTCAGGCGAAAATAATAGAATCACTGCACTTTTATTGGTTCACATCAATTCTCTTAGGCTGTTTGGACTCACATTTACAATAACAGAGTCACTGCATGTGCAGTATAGGCCTATTTCACAACTAAACTTTACACTGTAATATTCTGCATTAAACTGCTAAAGACTGAGGTCATTTAATTGCTAAATAAATCAAATACATTTGCAAATGGTCCTTAAGGTGGTCATAGCTTAATGGGCCTTCAGCATAATGAGTAATTTTACATAAAATACTTTATGAATTATAAAATTGTATTTGTTTCTCTGCAATACGTTATGTATGTAATAATAACTAAAAATGTTCTAAATGAGTGTAGATAACCGATTAGTGCATTGGTGTGTATATTATTTGTCAAAAAAGTTGAACAAATTCGTAATTTATGTCGATAAATGTTGGAGGAATAAAGTTAGCCTCAGCGAAATACAATACAATTATTAACGTAATAGCAAAGACGTGCATATATAGCCCAGTGCTGCTAGTATTTAATACTCGGACAAGGAGAGTCTCATCTTGCTGTAATGTTTTTCCATTATCATTTAAAAAAATATATGCTGAATACAAATACGTGACAATGAATCATTTCAAATTTGGAAATGTGGACAGTGTTCAATTTTAATATGTACGTTGTGCCACATGGCAGCAGGATAACATGTGCAGTCCCTTCAAACCCTCCAGATTTACGAGTCTGGTACTTTTAATGTTGGTGAGGTCAGACAAATTCTTTTCTGACTGTTGTACAAACAATATCTCTCCCAACAACCAACGTTCATGTCAGGGAATACGATTTACACCCATAAGGCCCAAACCAGCCCCAGTACAGCTAATAAGAAACAAATGACAAACAAAGAGCAGAATGCAGAGATGAAACAAAACAGAAGCAGACCAGAGCTTTAGTGTAACGACTGAAATATTCTGAAATTATTATTTCTTGAACCAATAAACTTCTTGGTAAAATGATTTGTATAAAAGGCCAAAAACACACACTCGTATTTTTAAATATGCATGTATAGCTATAATGAACTAATATTAGTCAGTGTAACACAAGACAAAAAATAATAACGGCAGAAGGATAGAGAACACATTAATGTTATCAGGTAGTGTGTGTCCATGTGTGTGTGTGTAGGTGTGTAGGTGTGTGTGTGTGTGTGTGTGTGTGTCTCAAACAAACACAAAGTCATGTCCATGTGTTACAAACAGGTATGCCTGTGTGTGATTTTTTTTGCATGTGTGTGTGTATTTAAACCACTGCATGCATTAGTGTGGAGTGTGCTGACATATTATAATTGATGAGGGATGGCGGTGCACAGTCTTGCCACGACTTTATGAAATTTAGATGAATTAACAGGTTTGGGATGAGTCCATTTGCAGACAGATGCTCCAGTAAATCACAGCAAGAAGTCAATTAGCCCTCTCCATCAGCCATATGAAGGCAAACTTCAAGTACTGTAGCAGTCACTCAAGACCCAACCAACCATATCATTTAGGAAACATAGACAACAATCTGTGCAGTTACGTTTGTGCCATATGTGCAAGAATAAACCTGAATCCAAAAACACTAAGTATAAATGAGGTATGACAAAACATTTGCGTTTCACCCATGACAAACAAAAACACAAAAATATACCAGATAGCGATGCAATATACAGTTAAGCATTACATTGGGAAATTCCAAATTAACAGTTAAATTGTAATTTGTCCTGTCGAACACTAGCCTCTATGGTGACAAAACCCTAGTCATCACCAGCCGCTGCGTGGAAATGAAAAATTACATCTCATATAGGCTGCATGTATTTTAAAGAATACCGCACAATGACAAATTGTCTTAAAAACACTGTGAAAATAATATAGATGCATATGTTGCGTTCATGAAGAGTATTCTCGCTGAACAGAAAATGTAAGCCCAGATTGTATTTTATTCTATAATTGTATTTATTTGAAACTGGGTTATATGAATGCAGAACCTGAGCCTGCATACAGTTGTGGTCTTCGCATAATGTGAGAGGACTGAGAAACGTGTCTTTGAGAATACAGAACTCAGAATTGGGATATGTCATATTAAACACAGCAAATCCTGCAAGTTCATACATCACAATGTCCATTTAAGCACAAGTAAATCACTGTATACTTCATTTAACTGTGCCGTTGGGATACATTAACCTGTTTCAATACACAGTGGTGTTTGCTAAATGGAGGTACAACAGAGCTTTTGTCATATAGGGAGATGAAGAGTTCACTTTTCCTTGGTCACTATTGAGTTAACTCTCAGTCCACAAACTTGTCTATAGCACTCGGCCTGAGCCAGCCAAGCGTAGTGTAGGCTAAAGGCCAGACAACATGGACTATAGAAAACATCCCAGGTTTGCTGTAAGATACAAAAATCCACACGAATAGAACTGCTGCAGGCCTGTAGATGTTTATATGAGAAAATGATTATCACACATTTAGGTCATTTATCAAATGATGCACTGAAATAACCTTCACTGACTCTTAAACAGAATAAGCATATAAATGTGAGATGTTTACCATTTATGCTGATGGCTCCCCTCTGTTCCAACAGCACTGTCACAGAGGTATGCACACCACAATATTGGGATATTTTTAAGGTGACGCGCATGCTCAGTTGGAGGAGGGTATGTTATAACCAATGGGCTATCCCAACGCTCAATGAGGTAATCCCAGCAGAGATAAGTAAAAAAAATCTAATTATGCATACTGCAGTCCTGCAGAATAACCTGCTACATCATTTAGCACGTTGCCTTAACGACTAAATGATCAATAAAGATTTTAACTGTGTCGCACATTTGCAGCAAGGAAAGCACAGCAGGCCTGTAAACTAGACAAATGCAGATCCGTCTTCATCAATTTTGTGCAATTCAAATGAGCATCATTCAAATTTTTAAATAAATATATTAAATCGTTCGAGTGCAAAACCAGAGAGTGGATGAACTAACGCACTGGAATTTAATGTAATTTATATGTCAAGGAAAGCAAGAAACGAAAATGAGAGTGTGCGGAGGGCGACGTGCTCGAGAAGCGGTGTAAAATATTATATTATAAAAAATGGCTGCAGTGGGTGAGACACACATGTAAGTAAAGTGGAGCTCTGTAAAGCTGCATGTCTAACTTTAAACTTGTTCTAAGGTTGAATAACGTGTCAAGGCTCCTGTCTGGCAAAGAGGATTTTAAAAAGGAAATAAAAAGTTAAAATATCTCACATAATAGTTTATTCTCTCATTCCTTATTTTCTAATTTGTTTTTAAATTAAGGAGACACGTATAATTCGCATATACGAGTCTTCAGCCTCCAATGGCCAAACTCCACATGTGTGGATATAAACCAAAGAAAATATTGAATAAATAACCTGTCAAGCAGAGGAGATGTGCAGTAGTTTTTCTTTTACTCTCCAGCAACAGTTGCTTTACATTATGGGCCTATAGCTGATGACAGCTCCCTGACTTCACTGCTGCTGCTCTGTCCCCCGCAAACATTTGTGACTCATCTAAAAGTCACATTATGATTTCATATAGCGACGACGTGCACGCTGCACGTACACGGCACATAACATTAAGTGGCGTGTGGTGCGTTCACGTTTCAACGAGCCAATAAAATATGGAGGGAATATAGGAAACTTAATAGGCTGCTTGTCACTTGTGAGGGTTCACAAAGGTCCCCATAAATCTCATAGTGCAGAAACTGCAAAGACAAACTGTGTTGAGTGTGTGTGTGTGTGTGTGTGTGTGTGTGTGTGTGTGTGTGTGTGTGTGTGTGTGTGTGTGTGTGAGCATGCCTGTGTGCCGTGTGTGAGAAGAGAGTGAGAGTGAAGGGGGGAGTAAACTGTGAGAGGCTATGCCTTCGTGGTGAGAGGGAGGGAGGGAGGGAGAGGGATGGAAGAAGGGGGGAGGCAGTTTACGGAGCAAAAAGACATGAAGTGAATCTCATTCGTCGTTTTGCTTCGAGATCAGTTGTTGAGGTTATGAAGAAAAAGCGCAAGTGTTGTACCAAAGTGCACGGCGGCCATATATAAGAAAAAAAATTAGAACAAATAATTAAATATGAGTAACAGGCACAGAGCAGGCTGAGTTATAACTTCAGGAAAACTAAATCCCATGCAACCTCCACAGGCTTTACTGTAATAAAGTGCAGATTTACGCACGGCCGCAGAATACACACACGGGCCTATACCTCCTACCCTCATCCCAAACACACACACACACGCACACACGCGCGCACACACACACACACACACACTCACAATGGAGAAGTCAGAAAACTCACCTTTTTCAATCTATAACTCTTTCTCGAGGAAATGTTCTGGGAGTGAATGCGGTGGGATGAGGGCGCAAGCAGAATGAAGGACTGATTTGAGGTTTTTTTTTTTTTTTTGGGGTGAGGGGGGTCCGGATCCCCTAAAAAATAAAGAATGTGAGCTCCTTCCTGGGACAGGCTGAGAGGGGTGGTGGGGGGGATGTGAAAGGCTCGGAGTTAAAAAGCGCCGCTTGAAGCACTCAGCGCGTCTCTGAACTTGATCAGATTTTATGTGTCCTGCAGCGAGTCAGCGGCAGCTCCTGTGAAACCCGCTCAATGGCACGAATTTTTTGGCGGAGGGAGAAGAAGAAGAAAGAAAGGAAAAAAATCTCAGGATATTACAATTACTGCCATCTTTCTTTCTGTCTTTTATTCCTCCGTCTTACACCCTATAGAGCTTTTTGCAAAAAAAGAAAAAAAAAATATCCCCCTCCCCTTTCAAGCGGCTACAAGAAAGCCACATTTTGGAGCTGGGCCAAGTACATCCAAGTTTTGTGTTATAAGAAACATAAAACACACATAACACATATAAGTCAATGACAGATACAGAATTGTGGACAGATTGTTTCAAAGGTCCTGCAAAAGTTGTAACTTTCCCCCAAAACTGTTTTTATTCCCTAAATAAATCCAAATTCAGTTTATGATGCAGAATAACCGAGTTTCCTTAAAATAACTAAGTGTTGCACTAAAAGTTGGAGCAGGAACCTGGCTGTAAAACCCCTGCAAGCACAGGCAGTCCACACATTAGATTTGTTTTTTGATTTATAAAAGTGTTTGAGAGTTTCTTTAGGCGCATAAATCAGGAGCGGCTGCATGAGACGCGCAGCGCACATAACACGCACAGGGATCTGCGCTATAGAGCCGCGTTATACCTGCAAAATAATGCCTGTAAGAGCCAATCAAATGAAACCAATCGAGACGAACTGCCATCTTCAATACCAAACGGTGCCAATCACCAGAAATCCAGCCAATTAACACCCTCCTCGGCGGTCACGTGTCGGAGGGGTAGCCGCGCGCCGATTGGCCGCCGTGGCACTGCCTCCCGAGTTCATTTATGTTCTGGGAGTGAGTGATTGACTTTATCAGTCCAAGGACATCATCCGCTTGGAAAGGGGGGGAAGTTTGATCCTCTTTCTCACGGATCGCAGTCAACGGGAGTTTTTTCTCCCAACTCTCTTCGCAGAGGATTTTCCCCGTTTGGCTTGGGTTTGTTTTTTTTTTTTTTATTCTAGGATTTTTTTTCCTCGCAAAACGTGGTAAATCTCGACGCGGTGTCTGCAGCGTGCGCGCTCCGCTAAACTGGATTTTAATTTTGTTTTCTGTTTTCTCCCCGTCTCCTAAGTTTGCTTCAAGCTCATGACTATGTTGCTTGATAGCGGTCCGCAGTTTGCATCGTTAGGAGTGGGAGGTTTCGGGACACCGCGGCACCACGAGATCGGCAACAGAGACCCGAGTCTGGGACTGAATCCCTTCACCGATTCCTCCCACTCCGCAGCTTTCAAAATCAGCCCCGTGGCTCACGACATCGCCTCTAGCCAGACGTCAGCGTTCACCCCGCAAGCCTCCGGTTATGCAGCCGCCCTGGGACACTCTCACGGCGGGCAGGTGGGCTCGTACGGACCGGGTGCGTTCAATTCAACACGGGACTTTCTCTTCCGGAACCGGGGCGTCGGAGAGCCAACAGCGCCGAGCGCCCAGCATGGGATCTTTGCAGCTTCGGCGGGGAGCCTCCACGGGCCGCCGGGGATCACCGATAACCCCGGGCATCTGTTGTTTCCGGGACTTCACGACCAGGGGGTGAGCCACACTTCACCGAGCGGACATGTGGTTAACAGCCAAATGCATCTTGGCTTGCGCGGGGACATTTTCGGAAGACCCGATCCTTACCGTCCGGTCGCGAGCCCTCGGACGGACCCCTACGGGGCTCAGCTCCACAACTACAACCACCCCATCAACATGAACATGGGAATGAATGTGCCGACACACCACGGTCCGGGGGCCTTCTTCAGATACATGAGGCAACCGATCAAACAAGAGTTATCCTGCAAATGGATAGACGAGAACCAGATGAACAGACCCAAAAAGACTTGCGACAGGACTTTCAGCACCATGCACGAGATGGTCACGCATGTGTCCATGGAGCACGTCGGCGGCCCCGAGCAGAGCAACCACATCTGCTACTGGGAGGACTGCCCGAGGGAAGGGAAATCTTTTAAGGCCAAGTACAAACTCGTCAACCACATCCGTGTGCACACGGGCGAGAAACCGTTCCCGTGCCCGTTCCCCGGATGTGGGAAAATATTCGCCAGATCGGAAAATTTGAAAATCCACAAAAGAACACATACAGGTAAGGAAACGATGAATCCACAGCGCAGCTTGTGTAGAAAATAACAGTTGAACGTGGGGCTGTTTCGAATGAGCACATTGTGTCTTACATTGTTTCAGGGTGCGTGTTTTTGTTGTTTACAAGAAAAGCTTGAGAACTTGGGCCCACATTCATCACTAACATTAACTCTTCTGAGTCAGGATCCATTATTGTTATCGGTCCAGTTTTTTTTGTAGCAATTAAATCAGTGATAAATGAGTGCAGGCCAATAAAACAGAATAGTGTATTGTAGTTCTGTGGAGCAAATGTGTCGGTCGTGTCGCTGATCCTCGCTCTGAGAAGTTGTGTGTTACAAAAATACTTGACTCACTTGTCAAGAGTTTCAGTGCATTAGCAGCATTTTACGCAGTGAGACTTTTGGACCCTTTACGCATTTTTTCTTATACACATGCAAATGTTCAGTGTCTTGAGTTTCAGAAAAGCCCTGTTGATTCAGTGTTTACTACATAGGAGCAGAAGCTCAGGGCAGACCAGTGGCAGCGAGAAGGAGCAGGCCTCTTGAATAAATAAAGCCTGACAGAGCAGCGTGTAGTAGTGGAGCTGTATCCATTTCGCCCCCAAAATGTAGGTTACACTGTTATATAACAGACTGCAGACAATTTTACATCTCCCGACTCCATGCAGGGGTTTTCTTCTTTTTAACATGCGCTGCTGTGACAATGGGTGTTTGTTTGTTCGGGCTATTCGAGGGTGATTCACGGTGTGTGTGTGTGTGTGTGTGTTTAATCCTGCAGGTGAGAAGCCGTTTAAGTGTGAATTTGATGGCTGTGACAGACGCTTCGCCAACAGCAGCGACAGGAAAAAGCACATGCATGTGCACACATCAGACAAGCCATACATCTGCAAAGTGTGCGACAAGTCATACACACACCCCAGCTCTCTCAGGAAACACATGAAGGTAATTAACGTCTTCATTACTGGTTACACACACACACACACACACACACACACACACACACACACACACAGAGACTTTATCACAACTTCAGGTAATTGTTAAATCCGCAATTGTGCTACTAACCCTAAATAAACAACACAATTTGAGAGATTTTACTTAACTATAAGTAACACTACAACTCTTGCTATAAATAACTACTGAAATATAGTCGATCTTGTGATTGAGTTGTGAAACATTCTTTAACACTTTTAATTAAAACACAGGAATTCTCTTTTTTCAATACTTTACTTTTAAGACAAAATACAATGTGACTCAAGTCTGTTTTTTAATTTTTCAGTGTGTAGAAGTTTTCGTGCCAGTCTCAAGTTTAAAGTTAGAGTATTTTTGTGCATGTGTGTGTTCACTGCACAGGCTCTTTACAACATCCAGAATGAATACGCATTTAAATTCAGCTCCCATCCATTAAAGCGCACAGATGGGTGGCTTAGATGAATGTTAAAACGCAGTGACTCACTCCTCATGCCCTATATTATTCTTTATTTTTATCGCAGGTACACGAGTCTCAAGGATCCGAATCCTCTCCAGCAGCGAGCTCCGGATACGAGTCGTCCACACCGCCGGTGCTGGTCTCAGCCAGCACCGAGGACCCGACAAAAACACCGCCGTCAGCCGTGCAAAACACGTCTGGCCACAGCGAAGGACTGGCACCCAACTTTAATGAATGGTACGTTTGAAGCCCGAGGAGCGAGCCCTCTCCTCAATGTGGACCACTGGGATGAGGAGAAATGAGGATAATATTAATTAAAAAGAAACGTTAAAAAAACAATTCCTGTTCACTACACACACACACACACACACACACACACACACACACTAATCACACACCATCTCTCTCCAACACACACATACACACACACACAAATTGGATTGGGACAACAACAACAACAACAACAACAGGAGATGAGAGCAAAAGCCAGCAGCACGCAGGCCACGTCCGTTCTCAGGATCACGAAAAATTTGATTCCACGTGTTTTGAGGAAATCAGGATAAACCACGAATAAATAAATGAATGAAAAAAAAATAAAAAACGTAATACTTTCTCAGTATAAATAAATGGGTTTTTTATCTTTTAGTTTACAGATTTCAGAAGAAAAAAAAATTGTTTTATTTTTCATTTTCATGTATTTTCTCAAATTTTTATTTAAAAAAAGAATAAAAAAGGAAGATTATTTCATGCTGTTTTATATGAAGGTGACACGGCTGCTGTCGCCTCTTCGATTGATTGTTGGAACTTCAAACAGTCTTAAGAAACGTGCCAAAGTCTTTGTCATGAACTTGAACACAGAAAAAAAACATCATAAATAAATATTATACTCGTGAATGTATTTCCTTGTTTGATGGGGTCGAATCTGTTGTCAACGTCCGTTTTCAGGTGGAGAAATGTGGTATTAGGTTACGATTGTTACCGTTGAATATAACGTTGCCTTTTGTTAATACCGTTGTAAATACATATCCATGATGCCATATTTATCAATTTGTAATTTAATTATGGGTATAAGTTCTGAAACTTAAATGATATTTATGGAAATGTTTTCTAACAAGAACTGTACAGTTTTGGTCATTAACATTGAACAAATGATAAACTCTAAAGCTCCAACATCGCGATTGTATCCTTCTGTTTTTTTGTTTTCCTTTTCTTTTTTAACCAATAGGCCTACATGTGTCTTATTTGGATCGAAGAAATCATCTATATGAATATTATGGATTTGTCTATATATAATGCAGATATTTCCGTCACTTTTATTTTCTTTATGAGACCATTGACATGTAAATCATTGACTTTGTAGAACTGAGTTCAGTTGAGCTGAGAAGCTATAAAACGGTTCTGTTGATATCTTTATTTTTGGTTAAAATTTAAACTTTTTTTGTGTATTTTACTTTTATAGAATCAGAAATAGATGTCAATTCGTAGCATAAACTCAGTACTGGAAAAAAAGAAGAAGAATAAACCCATCAGCCTATTGCACTCCTAACACAGGTCTTAGGCGAGCGTGTGAAGGTCATGATTTCCAAATCAAGGTGACACTATTTTGAGTATTTCAAATTCGGGTCATGCACCCAACTATATGCGCCAGTATGGCACTCTTTATAGTTCCAGCAATGTCTTTGTGCAAGTATGTTTAAATGTGTGCATCGGCAACAATGGAACTGTCACAACACAGTATCTTCAAAAATAAAAAAAGTTTTTTTGTCTGTCAGCTTGCATTGTTTTAAATGTAATTCTTCTGTGAAACTAAGCGTGTTATTTGTTGTGGTGTTGCATATAGAGCAGTTTGATTACACATTTGCTTGTTTTGTGTGAATAACTTGTCAAAGATGACATTTTTTGTGTTTAACAAAAATTTAGTGGAAGGAATTCTAGATCTATGTGGGTTGGGGGGAAAATACGTTCAGKKRWAAAAAAAAAAAAAAGAAAACAAAAAAAGAAGAGTTACAGCATTGCATTGTAACCTATTCTCAAGAATTAAATATTATGCATACACAAAGTATATTGTACTCATATGAGAACAATTTCAGACCACCAGCACTACTTTTAAAATAAAATGTAAAAAAATGGTACCTCGTGACAGTGATATATGAAATAAGTTTATTTAAATAATTTAAGGAATATATGTTTTATATGCTATTTTCTATACCTTAATTTAAAAGAAGTACTTTTTCTTATTCCCACCACCTTTCTGCCCCGATGTCCAGAGGTCAGAGGAAAAAAAATCTGATGTATAAACACAGCTAGAATGTCATGTTGTAACACTTTCTGGGAGAAATGGGTCACACTCCAAGTTATTCCTGAAGAGCAAAATGTTTTACTGATGAACTGTGTCACTGTGCCACGTTGAGGCAAACCATGTTACAGCAGCAGGCCTATGCGTTCAGCTTATTCAGCGACCAGAGGCATGAGGTTCCTTGTACTTTTTAGGCTACTGTATGTTGGTTGATTTGTTTTACCAACTATTTATGAAGAAATGTGAACGGAAATTTTGACTGAAATTAAAAAAAGACATTATGAAAAGCGACTGTCAGACTGCCACCTTGATTATTATCATCATTATTATTATTATGTTGTTCTGCACCTTTACGCATGTGGTAGACACTGTGTGCCATGCTGTGTGTATCAGACTAATAGGAGTCACTTGAACTTGACAATGATTAAGGCGCCATCTTAGTATATTTTCTGTGTGTATGTGTGTGTTCGCGCGTGCATGAGAATGAGAGTAGTGGTAGGGAGTTAAATAATCACTTCTTGACAGATAGGTGCATGGATCATCCCTCCATGGCTGAAAAAAAGTTACCAATGCAACTTGTTTTTTTACTGAGCTCTTACAAATAATAATGGTAACGTGCAGATTGGAAGACGGGCAACTGAGGACACTGTGTGACCGTGAAAGTCGAGTGGCACACATTGCCAAACGTGTCGCTGCATCAGCGTCTCCCACTGCCCGATTAACAAGGAGCCGCTTCATAAAAACAACCAAAGGAGTAACCACACATCAATGGACGCCATAATAAACATTTAAAAGGCGAAAGAAAAAAAATCAGTCCGAATCACAACAGCAGCTCATGCGCAGGCCTGGAGTCTCTCGTATTATACGGTGTCATTTATCCAGTGGTTTTAAGAAAACAATAAATTCGGGGAACACAACAAATGAGCGCATTGTGTTTTTTCAAAGCCTGCTGTAAAATGAAGACTTTACTGTTTACTCCCCAGTGAGGAGTGCTTTTACACCCAGCCCCCACAAGGTGCTTAAAATCCCCCTCCACCTCCCGACTCCCTCCTTCATCCTTCAGCTATTAAACAGTTTTAGGAATATTGATTCAAATGCTTTTTTTTTTTTTACTTTTGCGCAAGCGCACACATTGCATTCTGTTTGATTTCATTTCTTTTCACCCCCACCCTTCGCTCCTCATCCCACCCTCCCCCTCCTCCTCCTCCTCCTCTCTGCTCGTCTAGTCGCACATTTCAAGTTCCTCCTCTCAGACACCGTGACGTCAAATAACCGAGACCCTGCTCTCTCTCCCTCTCTCTCTCTCTCCGAAACACGGCGGGCTCACATGGAGGCTGCATTTTTACGCAAGCATCTGGGATGTGCCAGTGGTGGCTGTGCTCTGACCTGATCATCGGGAGGGAAGAGGCAAAAATATGATCATGACATAAATAAAACAGTTTCGTATTTGCATCTTAACACGGATCACCCCAGTTCTTCCAGACCGACAATATTCGTGTTCATCTTAAACGAGTGGGTCCGCTGTAATTTCGCCGATAGCTTTCCTGACATGGTCTATGTTTATCCATCGCCAGGAATAGCCCGTGTTATTGTCCCTGACGCACAACACAAGTCATCGATTAAACGAGAAAACAGGGAGAGAGATTTAATCCAGAAGAGAGGAGAAAAAACATGAAATGCTCCTTTCTGGTGGATCCTCGGTGCATTAGAAAACAGTGGCTTGTTAAGACAAGCGGCTGTATCACAACAGTGCCCATCTGGAGCACACAGGCTCTGAACTGCGCTCATTCATCTCCACTTATCTTATGGATTGTTATACTGAGCTGCGATGTGTGAACCCGGAGGATGGCAGCTGACTGTTGGCAGCGTGCGTGTAGCCTGTAATCTCTCTCTGGCTACAGGGTCTGCTTGCCTTGTGCTAGTGTCCGGAGAAGGGGAGGCTGCAGGGAGGGTAAAAAGGAGCAGGACTGAGTTGTGCTCGTGTAGCTCGTGGCTGTGGCTGAAGTTTGATATCGGATTGATTAGTCATCCCCAACCCTTTAGCCTACCTTCCTCCGTCTCCTCAGTCGTAGAGAATTTGCTGGCTAAGCGGGAGAGCGCGCTCTAAGAGGATAAACCTACACAAGCAGGTCCCAAACGCCTTTTGTCACGCAACAGAGGCGGTGATCTTAAAAAAAAACAAATGGCTATTTTATCATTCATCAATAATTTAGTGTTTATTAGACGCTGCGTGCATCCGTGAATTAAAAAATACAGTGCGTAAAATCTACAACTGAACATGCAACCCTGCACATTTACGCGTGGGACTTTTATTTGGCAGAGACTGGGGCTGTGCAGGGTTCAGAGTCTGGCTCAAGGGCACTTAAGAAGGGCACTTGGCCTGAATCTGAGACAGTTTGGATAAGGGGGGGCTGCACAGGCACGTTGTGTGTGCAACACACCAGGGTGTTTAGATTCCCCCTTTTCCCAATGGATAAGATGAACACTGAATCATCCTGAATTAAACCAGACGCCAGGCAATGTGTGTAACATACAGGTTTCATCTGTCCACATATAGCAGCGGAACAAGTTAACACGGTGTTAACACGGTGGATTACAGTAGATATGTAGGCCAGCCGTTTCTTTAATCAAGACATTAAGCCTGCACGCATAACCAGAATAGTTTGCCCCTAAACGCATCATGACAATTAGATTGGAGCGAGATGGATCTGCAGCATCACGAGGTAAAACACGGCTTGATAAACAAATAATCACATATGAGTTCACATTCATCTGATAATTGCTTTGCGAGCTCGGAAGTAGATGGGCTCACCAATTATCGATGCGTATTTCACCTCCAGCAGGGCGTTGAATATGCATTCCCAAAGTACCTCAATCCGCCGGTGTGTTATACCTTTAACGTGTTTCATGGCTCTTGTGATGCAAACTGATTAACACAATGGCTTTGTCTTTGAGTTCAATTATTCTTCAATTGACTCCTAACAGCCATTTACATACCTACTCATACTGGCAGGCCTGCACTGTAGCCTGCAGGCATGTGTGCTGATGAGGAAATGAGTGAAAGTGGACATAAAGTTATTCAGTGACTTCATCAGACAGCCATACTTAAAAAACATAAAATGTCTAGTAGAGTAACAGGGCAGTCACATTTATAGTTTATACTCCTGTGGATACAATCCAGTGCGCATGGTGAATAAAAACAGTGCCAAGGGGCCAACAACATAAGATATATAGTTTAAGGTGTCATCCGTCCACAAGCATCCACCTCTCATATTACATTATGTCCACACTTTAGGCTCAGAGACAAACTATTAGCGGGATGTCCAACAGGAGACAGCGCTAATTCCCCAACATCTGGCGGGGTGTCAGAAACTTGATGAATTCCTCATCAGAGCAGGCGCAGGAATCGACGATAATAGGTCCCCGGAGTGAGGGCGCCGGCAAACGCTCACTCAGCAAAGCAGATGTTCGGCAATTGTGCTTTGCGTTTGTCTTTTGACAGATATATTTTCAACTCTTTTGAGACGTGGTAAATGAGCAATTGACGTCCCTTCAACGGGGCGTTGCTCTGCCCTGGATCTGCGCAAAACTGGCGCAATAACACGGAACCCACCTCTCCAGAGGGGTGGAGACTTATGAACCACTGGACTGCAGGTTATTGGAGACTTTGACTGTAGAATGTTAATACATATCATACACTGTCACCATCTGCAATACAGTTTTTAAAGCCAAAGGACAACTCGGTGTTTGCGCTTTATTTACTTTGTGTGTTATTTAAGGATTTTCAAACTTTTCACCTGGGAGCCTTTTTGTCACGGGACAGCCTCCGCCTCACAGGACGGGTCCTGCCCTGAGGGGACGGACAGCAGCGCTCACATATTCATCGTCTTTTCAAAATGAAAAGGACAATGCTTGTTAATATCCCCCTTTCCCCCCAAAGACAATGAATTAGAATTGGAGATCGCCTTTCCATTATTTAAAGACTTCATTCACTGCATCCTTTTCTGTGCGCCTGCGCAATGCTCTCGACTAAGTTCTGCAGCGCATCAAGTTAAGGAAAGGGAATGAAAAGGACGCACATGTGTTTTTACACAAACATCCTTGATACATGTTGCACAGGCGCACAGTGATGTATCCCGTGAGACAGAAGAATGGATACATTGATGGATGGATGCATATAGATGGATGGATATATCAACTGCATGAAGGAACAGCACTCAATTATACACTGTCTATAGTATTTGTCCCTTGACAACAATAAAATATGTCACTAATACTACTACTACTACACAACGAGAAACAAAAGTGGCCCATATCTCTTGCACAAATTCCAATATCTGCCCCAGAAATGCCACTCAACGCGAAAAAAGGCGAGCTGTGAAGGGTTGCATAATGTTTGCGCAATCTTTAATCCGTTATGGATATGTATGAGGGAGACATAGCACCATGAATAACAATCCGCTTGATCCTGCAGCCGCCTCAGCACGTGCGTGCGCGAATCCCGGCATCACACAAACAGAGGATGACACAATCGAAGATAATTAGACTTAAAGATTTTAATTTCCCCCAAGTTCCAATTCAAGCAGATTTTTTTTTTTTTGGG